TGTGGGGATCCTTTTTTGACTCGCTGATAATCAACTCCTCCTCCAAAAAAGTCCTTGGAACCTGTTTTGTTTTCTTATTCTTGTTGAAATACTTAACAGCATTAAAAGCGATACATTGTCAGTACGATGTCCCATCCTTGGGCATTTGTACGGTAACAACTCTAGTGTCACAAGATTTGCTCTTACCAATTTTTTTTTTTTTGCTAAAATTATTTAATTACTTTTTAATAATAAATTTTAACAAAAATGTGAAGAAATATTTTCCTAATTTTAACGGAAACGGTCATAAAAACTGTCCCTAAAGGTCGTTGTCAATTAGTTGCACGTACATATAGTGTACAGATGTACGTATATACATATATCAATATTTTAAATTTAATTTCCCGATTTGCAATCAAAAACGGTTCAATACACCACGGCACTTTAGTAATTGTGTTAGAAAACGGGATCACATTTCACTAGAATGAAAAAACTTTATGGCGAGACTTGGTAAGATTTTATACTTACACACAGACACAGCTATTGACATTGGTAGTAAGATTAAAATTACGGTAACTGGTATTAAATTAACGTCAGAATTAATCCAACTGAATGTGTATGCGAGTTGTATTTATTTATAGATGTATATGTGTAAATACATACATATACATACAGAGTAATCTCTTATTAACTCCAGTCGAGTTCGGTTTTACGCTAATCACGGTAGCAGTCTGCAGAACGTAACCGCTCTGATCCAACCATACACACCATAATATTAGACTTATTGGTATAGGTTGCAATAGCCGAGTGGCTACCATTGCGAGCTACCATTCGGAAGGTCAGAGTTCGAGTCCTGGTTCGTCCCTCAAGGTAATGCCAAGCTATCATAGTGTATTTCTGACATGAAAATCAAGAAAGCTCCTCACAAAAAAAAAAAAACATCTGCCGTTCGAAGGGGGCTTGGAATAAACTGCAGGTCTCTCCATTTGTTGGAAAAACATTAAGACGTACACCAAAAATACGAAAAGGAGGCTACCTGACCAATGCAGCGTTTTCCAGGCGGAGATATCTGCTATCATGGCGGATTCAAAGCAAATTGGAACCAGCTTTAAACACAAGGATATTGCTTAAACTAAATTTCAAATTAGTGCTGGACTTTCGCCGATATCTACAGGAGATGATCAAACAGAAAAGACTGTCTCTCACGTGGCTTCCTGGTAACAGGGACATCGAGGGAAACGGAAACGGATGAAGTTCGTAGGCAAGGTACGACCAAGCAGATTCTTCTCTATAAAGACCGCATTCATATGCCTTTCGCCACTTGCAAAACTACGTCTCATGGAATTTACATATCTACAAGAAGCCACAAGGTGGAATAACATTACTACCTACTGTAAATCCAGGCACACGTGACCGAAATGGGGTAAGAAAAGATTACGAGATGTGTACTGCTTATAAGGAGGTGACATATCCAAAGTAATAGAAGTTCATCCAGCAGCCCACTCTCTGATGGAGATGGAGATGACAAGCGGGTAAACTAGGGGCTCCTTACAGAAAATGCTACAGAAGCTACAAGGAGGATGCAGACTGTCCTGGTTTCAACAGGGTTTCGGAATTTTGAGACCTTACTGCCAGATGGTCCATCGAAGACAGCTAACGTCAAAGTCATGGATCTAATGAGGTGTGGGATTTGGGAACCCTTATTGGTATATGGATTTGTTTGTATTATTTTTAGTATATGAGTTTATAGAAGTATTTATAAGATTAGATGTTAGGTTCTGAGTCGGTTATTGTTTTCTATATTTGTAGGGATGAAAGAAGAGTAAATTGACATCCTTACTTTTGCTGCTGATATTTTGTGATTTTTGTTGCTTAGATTTTACGGGTGGGTTTGCTCATGTTGGGCTCCTTTCCCCTGACTGCTGTTTGGTTTCTAGATCGTACTTAAAGAACCAAGATTCGTCACTAGTAACGAGTTTACTAAAATTGCCAGACTGACCATTTTCGAATTTGTTTTGGAAAATTGAGCAAAATGCACGCGAGCCCCTTTCTGGGCCTCATTTAAGGTTCGTGGTACTCAGCGAACAGATTTCTTCGTGTACCGTGTATGATTACTTAATATTCGCGATACATCCATGGCATTCAAGCCTAATTCACTAGCAATCATTTCTTGTCCCACTCGTGCGGCTTCACCGATTTTGGACTACACCACAGCTACAGTGACATCATTAGTATAAGATTTTGGTTGATCTGCTAGGGGCTCGTCCTCTAAGAAAAAAGATCCTATTTGGAATCTTTGAAACCACTTAGAAATAGTCTTTGAAAACAATACTATCGTTCCATAAGCAAGTTGGCATTCACTGATTATTTGGATTGGCTGCAAATTACGCCGAAACTCGAAAGGATTAAAATGCCGAGTGTTGGAATTTCGTCTGACCTATCCTCAGCTATCTTGCGTTCTATCGTCTCCGTTTTAGCCGATGGTTCGAAAAATTGAAAGGAAGACTAAAAAGTCATTTCAAAGAATATGTTTTTTTTTGTAAATATAACAAAAACAAATTGAAAGTCACCAAATGATCGAACTCTTGTTACTCCCCTCGTAGTTGAATTTAAAGCTCTCATGCATTTTACAATTCTTCGGTGGGTTTTAAATGCTTTGAACAGGCGTGTGTCGGTGGAGTTTAGAAATGATCTAAAAAGTTTGGCTATGATTTAATCACACCCTTGTTTTCTATGGTGAGAAGATTCGCTTCTCACAGCATATTTTGAATTCGGCTAGTGCGGAAGGCACCCTGGGCTGTACAAATCGCGGACTGAGCTTTGTTTCGAGCTTGTCTAATGTTTACTTGGGGAAGCCACCATTGAGATAATTAGCGTTCTAGTTACGTTTAGCAATGTGTGTGTGTGTGTTGATAAACATTTGTTAATGTCTAATTCAATTATTTCAGAGTTCCATCTATAGTTTGCTAGTATTATAAGTGTACATGAAAGTTATATTTATTCTAGCGAATATCGAAATCGCTCATACTTTTTGAGCACACCTTGTATGCACTTCTAGTCTATTGCACACTAACGACTTTCTCTGTGTGATGTAACACATTAACATCGACATTTAAAATACAACCCTCAACTTGAACCTGAGCTAATCGAAATATTCGCGTAACACCGAACCCTGACTTTTTGCATTTGTGTGTTGTGTGTCTGTATGAGTAAGTGTGCTTTAAATACTGCAAATGAATATGGTACTGATTACACTCTCTTAAGTCACTAATTGGCTTTGCTGTTAAAAAATTGTCTGTTATGCGTTCATTCATACATATTATATGTTATGTATCTATGTAGGTACGAGTATGTACACATATATTCCCGCAGAAAAATAGAAAATAGAACAACAAAAATATACTACAAATATTTAAAGCATCTTAGAAAATCGATACAAGCAATATATGTACATAAGTGTATATGAGATATGTATGTAAATGAATTACGACAGCAGCTCATTTGCAAAAATCTGCTCATGCATATATATAAGCTCTACAAACAATATAAATATGAGTTGCATATTGACGAGTGCATAAGTTCGTGCCCGATTTCAAGTGCAAACTAAAATTGAAATTTTTTGAAGAAAGCGCTTTTATGAATCAATTATGTATTCGCCATCATGTTCGGCAATCCACCCCCAACGTTCAACCAATTTACGGATGCCTGATTCATAGAAATCGCGGATGCCTGATTCATAGAAATCGCGCGGTTTCTAGTTGAAAAAGGTGTCAAGGTGGTTTTTGACGTCTTCCACATTTTTAAATTTTTTTCCGTTCAAATTGTTCTGCAGCGGTCGAAACAAATGATAATCAGTAGGTGCAATGTCGGGTGAATATGGGGGATGCGGCGTGATTTCCCAATTCATCTCCTTCAGTTTGGCCAGGGTCGGTTTTGCAACATGTGGCCTGGCGTTGTCATGATGGAAAAGAACTCCTTTGCGATTGGCCAAAATCGGACGTTTTTCATCAATTGCTTTCTTCAATTCGACCAATTGCTGACAATACTTGTTGGCAGTGATCGTTTCTCCAGCTGGCAAGAGCTCAAAATAGATCACGCCTCGGATATCCCACCAAATGCACAGCAGTACCTTCATCGGATGCAATCCACCTTTCGACATCGGTTCCGCCCCTTCGTGTGCCTGTTTCCATGTTCTTTTGCGTTGAACATTGTTGTACAGGATCCATTTTTCATCACCAGTCACGAGCCGATCCAAAAAAGGTTCGTTTTTGATCCGTCGAAGCAAAGAAATTGCTGTTGACATACGGTCCACTTTGTTTTTTTCACTCAACTGATGTGGCACCCATGTATCGAGCTTCAAAGTGTACCCAACCTTTTTTAAACGACGAAACGCAGTTGATTTGTTGACGTTCAATTCACTGGCAACCTCTTCCGTCGAAATACGTGAGTTATTCGCAACTAAAGTCCTTAGAACATCGTCATCAAGCTCAGAAGGCCGTCCACTGCGAGGTTGATCTTCGAGGTTAAAATCTCCAGAACGAAATTTCGCGAACCATTTCTTTACTGTGCGGAGTGCTGGAGCACGGTCCAAATAAACTTCGCGAATATCTTTAGTTGCAGCGCCTACTGTTTTTATTTTGCGGAATTCGTATAACATTATATGACGCATATGATCTTTTTCGTTGTCCATCTTCCATGCGTCTTTTCACTAAGCAACTCAAATCGAAATGAAGTTATTTTATGCTTGATTCATAGTTCGGACTGTCACCTTCCCAACGATATATAATATGTATAAATTGCTTTCACGAGCGCTACTCTCAAACGATTCGAACGGCATCCAGCGGAATCGGGCACGAACTTATGCACTCATCCAATATATTAGCAGAAAGTTAATTATTTTAAATATTTACGGCAATTTTATAATTTTAAACAAGTTTTTAAAAGGATTTTGCAACATAAAATATATGTATATACACGTATATACTCTAAAATATACATTTCTGCTTTATTGGCATTCACAGCGCTTACACGATTATAGCCGAATCAACAATAGCACGCCACTCATTGATTTTCTTCGCTGCTTGGCGCAAGTTGAAATATCAAATGAGACCAGGTCGCTCTGCATCTGATTCTTCCAGCGAAGTGCTTCCATCAAAGAGTTTTCATCCATTCTACCAAACGGCGTCTCTTCTTTCGGTGAACTGCAATATCAATGTCACCGTATAAAGGACCATACATCGTTCGCAAAACTTTTCTCTCGAAGATTCCCAAAGCCGACTCATCAGCTGTTGACACTGTTCACGCCTCTGCGTCATATATTATATAATATTATATATAGGTCGGGTATGATGAGCGACTTGTAGAGATTGGTTTATTGTTGGTGTATAGAAAACTAATTTAAATAAAAAATTAAGTTAAATTTTCTAATTGCGGTCGCTGCTCGGCAGGGAATGTCGACCCCTCCGAGGATATTTCTGGCATGAAATAAAGCTCCTCATAAAATAACTATCAGCCGTTCAAAGGCTGCTTAATATAAACTGTAGGTCCCTCCATTTGTTGGAAAAACATCGAGACCCAAAACCACAAATTGGAGGATGAGCTCGGCCGGAAATCGCTTAAGCGGTTACATAGTGCCAATTATATATATGTATATAAGAAAGGATCAAATCGAAACATGGATACCAGACTATTTCTGGAGTACGGGTAAAGTAGATGACTAAAAATCCAAAATAAATGTTTCAATCGAATTCGGTTGGTTTATATAATACGCTCGAATGGCTTAACATTATAGTATGATCGTCCAAATATTTAATGTAAAATAAAGGCTGGAAACCGTAGCTGAATGAGTTCAAGCCCTGGTCTGGCCAGAATGTAAAACTATTGTAATCAAAGCTTCTCATTAAAATATGCTTCAATACTTAGAAGACGGCTTAAAACATCAAAACGCACAGCACAAATGGGAGAAGAGCCTCAGATCTTCCTACGATTGTTGACAACGCTAGCTGGTTAATGATGTTGGCATATCGATTGAATCATTTCATGACATTTGTACCAATGTTCTGGGAAGGAAACGAGCGACAATCACTGCGACGCCGCTGGCGAGGCTGTAACTATCGACTGCTTTAGACCCTTCAGCGCTTTCAAATGTTGCGTTTAGAACTTAGGACGTAACACTAAATTATTGTGGAGTTGCGTGGATAGTAGACAGACCCAAATGTTACTTGTGTTAAGGAAAAGTGAACTTAACTGGGCATCCACCTCTCAGATAACATCTCCACAACTAGATAAAGTTAAATCGGCTGTGTGCAGAGCATGCACAGAAAATTACGAAAAGCTGGAGCACTACCATTAATTGAGGTTTCACATCTTCCACAATGCTGTGTGTTTCAATCACTTCTCAATGGCTCCATTCATTTTGCTACATACTGAAAAGCTTCCTTCGTCGTCCTCTCAATAAACTTATTAAAAATGTACTTTTTCACGCTGAGTGTTCGCAGCAACACTGTTCCAATGTTTGAGAATGAAATCAAACCACGCAAAATAAACTCGAATATCAGGAAAACTTCCTTTGGGCCCAATATATAGTACATGTAAAAGAATGTTGGGTTGCACTTAGGGTCTCCCCCCGGCTATCTACCACTGGATCTTCATTACGATTGTTAAGCAAATACTTTTCTACGGAGTATTAATATGGTGTAAAGCTTTGGATAAGATAACATATCTGGATATGCTCGAAGAGTATTCAGACTTTCAATGGTCAACATCAATGGGGTACTCCAAGCCACACCATCTGCAGCGCTAGATGCAGTTCCACCAGCAAACCTAGTGGCTAAAGATAGAGCAATCCTAACTGCAGCGAAGCTATATGCTTCCAAGCAGTTAAACCTCAGGACTTACGGCCACAGTAGCATAGTATTACCCATGAGCATGCGAATAGACTACGTTATTCCACTTTCCAGACTTTCAGGAAGCTGTTGTCAGCTACAATAGAAGAGAATGGTTGGACCAAAGGTCTGAAATATGCAGACAAAGCTCTACATGTTTTTACAGATGGTTCTAATATGAACGAAAGAGTGTGCGGCTTGAGTTTAGTGCATTCAACTAGAGATAGGGAAGTCGAGTAAGCTACGAAACTATAGCAGTGTCTTCCAAGCCAAAATATTTGCAATGAAAATGGCGACAGAGCTACTGCAATGTGCTGGCTGGAAAAGAATTCACATCTAGTGGATAGTCAAGCGTCCATAAAGACCTTGGCTTCAGACAGCGCAAAGTCAGCTGGCCAAGTACTGTCTGAAAGACGGAAGAGGGTAAAGAGATTGCTGAAGAACTGCCTAAGGAAGGTGTCAATTTAGAACAGAACGCAATAACGAACCTTTCAATTACATTCAGAGAAGTCAGCCAAAAGCAAGCAAAACGACCTAAGGGATACAGAATAGCGAAAACTATGTAAAATGAATGATTCTAAATCTACAATCTGTATCTATCTGTACAGTGGCCGAATTCCTGGCTGATGATAGAACTACTAATAGGGTATTGCCTTCTGGCGTCTCATGTGTTTAAGAAAGGTCTGACTGGAGACAAAAAATGTAGGAATGTGAGTGTTTGGGCGTACGGCATACAAACATTTTTTTTACTTGGCGCAGAAAGGCTACATGATCCTTAATCGACAATGGCCAAGGGGCAAGAACGACTATTTCAGTTCGTGTAAAGAATAGCACTGTTCTTCATACAATAGGACCAACGGGTCGGCCAGCTCATCCTAACCTATCCTATTTTGGGAAATGTCAAAAATGTTTTCTAATTCGCGTATACAATTATAAAGATAAATCCAATAATTTTTATTACTCATTATTTTTATTTGAATTTTCTCTTCTATCATTCTAGAAACTGACTGTAGACATCAGTACGCCACTAAAGTGTAGTAAATAATCGCACGTACATACATACAGATAGGAAAATCCTTGTGAGTAGACGAATAGAAATGAATAAAATTATTTATTAAATAATACCGTTAATTATAAATGACTCTTTTTTCAAAACAGATCAACAAACAGCTAAAGAAAATAGAGAGAGAAAAAAAATACATAGATAAATACACACACACACACACATACACACACAAACCTACCGAGAATGCTAACAGCAAATCAAAATGTTTACTATACCGCCGATACAACAACAACAACTAAAAGAACAACAAAACCAACACCAGAAACAGTTATATTAGCAAATGAGAACAAAATCATTAATACAAAAACAAACAATAACGTTGTTGTTGATGTTGTAGATATTCGATGTTCGAAAGATAAAAACCTCAACGACTTGTATTCTACTACTTTAACAACAACAACAACAACAACAGCAACAGCAATAAACAAAGCGAGAACGGTGATGAGCCACAATCACGGAGTTGCTGTGTCAATGCTGGAGGATGGGGAGGAGCAGGAGCAAGTGTCGCCCGAACAACTGGATGATGAAAATGAGAATTATGTGATCGATATTGGCACAATGCAGATTGCGGATGAGAGCAATCATACTGCCGAGGCAACTGCTTTCATTACCGATAGCAACAGCAGCGACAGCAACAATAAATCAAACAATGCACGCCAAGGTACGCCTGAAGAGGATGAAGCGAAGCTAGGAAAGGAAAGTGCGATGGAAGCAGAAATTGAAACGAGTGAAAAGAGAGAAGAACTAGGTATTAATGAAGGTACATGCCAAACCAGGTGTGATAATGTGGAAACGGAGACGAAGACGGAAACGGAAGCCAAGGCGAAGGAGGAGCTGGATCAAAACTATCTGCACGAGATTGAAATTAGCAGCGTTGATGAAGAGCAAATTATCAGCGAACTGGTAGATGCCAGCGGGCAGGGCACTTGTGCAGAGGCGTGAGTATATTTAATTTTTTCAAGTAATTTATTATATCAGACAGAAGTGCTAAGCAGTAATATCGATTGGAAATCATTACAATTTCAGCGCTTAACAGCGTGTGAGTATAGCAGTTGTCGAGTACCATTAGAAGCAATAACAGAAGGTAGATTTAAACAGTTAGAAGCAAAATCGACGTCTGCAAAGAGCCAAACCTCTTTCAGGAATAAATACTGTTCATAAAATTTAAGAACGGGGTCACCGAATAAGTGACAGCCCTTGGTCGGATAAAATCCGGGTCAGTAGTCTACTACAATACCTATCCAGACTTGACTCCGAAATACCCAACGATTGTCCTGTATACAATTCGTCTCCGCACAATATTAACCATCTCCTTGCATGCCCCCGAAAAGCAACTCATCTGATATCCCTGTCCCTTTAGCCCGAGACCGTCGAAACACCTCACCTCCTGTAACTCCCATTACAAATTATTTATTTTAGACACGTGGTTTTCAAGAAGAAATAAAACGGGTCTAATATAATGTTATGGCCAAGAATTTAACTTTATTAAAAAGACAAGGGTTTGCCATTAATTTTAGATTTCGTACACATGGCTGGCGCAGCTGGCTCAAATAAATTCTTAAAGGCCCCGCCATAAGCCAGGTGTGCTCACCAAAAGTTTCCTTCATTAAATTGATTATTTCGTTGGCTGTATGGACTGCAGCGCCCTCTTGTTGGAACTAAATGTCCAAAGAGCACACAAAACAGTGACTTTTTGAAAGTGTTTCGATGTCTCAGCAATGGCATGTAGATTATCGTCACTCCAAATGTGACAATTTCGATATTTAACATATCCATTCAACTAAAAGTGAGCTTCATCGCTAAACTAAATTTTCTTGTGAAAATCGGTATCGCTGATCTCCTCGTTTTGGGCCCATCCACCGAACGTGCGACGCGCTGAGTGGTCCCTCAGGGTCAGTTCTTGCACGAGTTGGATTTTGTAAGCCTGTAAATGGCAAACGGGATTGGGTATAAATCCAGCCACAGCTTTCGCGATTACAGCCGAATCAACAATAGCACGCCATTCAGCCCTTCATTTCAATATTTGGCACCATTTGGAAATACCCTTGTGAAATGAGTTCCCTCTCTATCTGATCCTTTCAAAGGGGTGGAGGTCTTCCTCTTCCTTTGCTTCCACCAGCGGGTACTGCATCGATTACTTTCAAAGCTGGAGTGCTTTCATCCATTCGGACGACATGGTCTATTCAGCGTAGCCGCTGTCTCTTCTATCGCTGAACTACAATATCAATATCATCGTATAACTCGTGCAGCTCTTCGTTTCATAGCCTTTGGTATGCTCCGTTGCCAATGCGCAAAAAGCATAAATCGTTCGCAAAACTTTTTTCTCAAAAACTTCTGACACCGACTCATCAGATGTTGACGTCGTCCACTCTTCTGCACCACGTAATAGGACGTGTATGATGTGCGACTTGTAGAGTCTGGTTTTCGTTCGACGAGAGAGGACTTCACTTTTCCGTTGCTTACTCAGTCCATTGTAGCAACTGTTGGAAAGAGTGATCCTGCCTTGGATTACAAAGCTCGCATTATTATTGGTGTTGGTGTTGGTGCTGGTCTTTAGATAGACGAAATTATCTACGACTTCAAAGTTATGACTGACAGTGATGTGGGAGCCGAGTTGCGAATGCGATGACTGTTTGTGTGATGACAGGAGATATTTCGTCTTGTCCACGTTCATTACCAGACCAATTCGCTTCGCTTCTTTATCTAGTCTGGAGAAAGCAGAACTCACGGCGCGACTGTTGAGACAAATAATGCCAGTCAGTAAAGGATTTTACATTATCAATTCGGATCTGCAGCTCGTATTATTCTCTCCAGCAATACTTTAAAAGAGTCACATGATTAGAAATTGCCTTGCCTGAAAGCTCGTTTGGTACCGATCGCTTTGGAGAGGTCTTTCACAATTCTGACTGAGCTTCTAGTTGGTCCGGCGTCAGTTAACACAGTCTTATAAGTTTTGCGAGAATACCAAATTCAGCTCCTTACTGTGCTGTCGAAGGCTGCTTTAAAATCTATTATTATTACCTAGAGTATATCCAGAACTTAGACCAATTGCTTAACAAGGTCCAGGGGATTTTCTTTCTTAATATTCCTGTGACTTTTTTTGGAAAACAGTAATAACGAGGATTTTAAACTTGCAGTATCGAATTATATTATTGGTATTCGTATCAGCATTTCCATGATACTTTGCTGGGGCTCCTTCACTATACCTATCTTATCTAGGGATTTTCATAACGAAATATGGAAAACACTTTTAAACTATAATACTAATGAGCACTTATTTTTCTTCTCTCTCTCTCTCTTTCTCTTTATTTCTTTGTAGTAAGCAAAGTAATGGCGTCCGCATTGCTTTTGGCATAATCCTGAGGCTTATGCTGCCGCTGGCGAATGGTGTGATGCGCGGCTTCGAGGGTATACGTGATGCTCGATTTTTACGTGTCCTGAAATCAGTTGCTTCCAGTCGACAATCTCTTGCCAATTTGATGGCATTTGCTGCCAATACCATATCGCTGAATTTGTCGTCAGTTCAAGGTGCGTACAAACATACGGAACATTCTGAAAAGCATATGTATCTGTAATAGTTAAGTTAGGAAGAATTACTTGTGCATCTTTTGTGGCAACGCTGCTAACGGGAGCTAAAAAAATATATTGGAAACAGCCTCAAATCGAGAATCGATTCTGCCACTTGATTTGCTTGTTGTAAGGGCAACAAAAACCACAGCAGGACGTAAGCTCCTTCGACTAGTCAGATCGGTCAGTTTGGCGCTAGGTGCCGCACAAGCTTCGAAATCATCGATCTTTTAAGGGCATAGTTTCACGGACCCTTGAATACTTGATCACAATTGGCAACCGAGTTGTCGTGAATTAACACCTAGTGTATCTTCCTTTAGCACCACGGGAAAGATAGCATCTGACCTCAATGCAGACTTCGTGGAGCTATTGAGGGCATACAACAGGCGCTTTGCGATTTGGTGATATTTGATCTGGGAGATTTCCTGTAAGCTGGCAGAGTGGCAGCCATTTCCTTTCTTTGAATATCACAATAAGACACCTCTTATTGGAAAGCCCTTTAATAATATAAAAATGACAACCGAGATTTTTGTCTTTTTCAAGTTTCACAAAATTATTAATTTTTTCTTTCATTCATTCTCTGCCCACAGTTTCACAACGCATCGAACCAATTTTGAAGCTACTAAAGATACGTCACACTCGCGATGGTGTCGAAAGCCTGCCGGACACACCTGCCATAGAAGATGCACCATGCTTCCCAACCACCGATGTAACACCGACACCACCGTCGACACCGACCAAGCCCGACACACTGAATATGCCATTTATGCCAACTGGTCTGCCAAGTGAACCTTCGAGCGTTATGCCAACCTTTTCCACTGGCAAACGAAAACCCACAGCGCCACAAACGCCGGCGCCGAAATGTTGTACATTAAATGTGCTCGCAGAACCGCCTCCAGGGCAACCGATACTTGCGGATATTATTTTTATACATGGTCTTCACGGCTCGCAGGTGAATACTTGGCGGCAGGGTTTGTGGGAGAACGAACGTCAGCCGGAACAGTTTGAGCGACCTCCCAAACCACCCGTCCGGCCACCCAAGCGGCCAAAACATACGCGCACTGCCCCTTTACATCCTCCACACAAGCAGAAACGCGCAAGATTTGCGAAGTGCGAATCGAGTCAGCGAGCATCGGTGGATGCAATGGGTGATGATGAAATGAAATACTTAGATGATGGTTTTTCCGATGCCACGGAACAGGAACTAAAAAACAGGTATGACAGTGATTTCTTTAAATATTTATGTAGTTTTATAGTGAGTTTCATATTTCCAGTGCGTCCTATGCTTGTGGCGCTCCGCAAGATATACAAAACTGTGATGGCATCGAATATAGCTTTCCCACATTCCGTTTGCGCTTAAACGATAACGGTCGGCAGTTGCAAAGTGCAACCGACAAAATGAATGAAAGCTTCGCAAGTGGCGCAACCGATGAGCCCCATAGGAGCTCCACAAAATCGACAGAAGACAACAGCAGCAAACCAAAAGCAGCCACCGCAAAACTCTCCGTAGATGATCCGAATTATTCAAAGTGTTGGCCTGGTGATTGGTTACCACTAGACTGTCCCGGCGTACGTGTCATTGCCCTTAACTATACCACCGATCCATACTTGTGGCGGCCGTTGTGGAAGAAGAAGGAACCACGTTCGAATCTCATCGAACGTGCACGTGAAATGACCGAATTGCTGGTCAAACATCGCGTCGGTTGTGGTCGACCAATTGTCTGGGTGGGACATTCCAAGGGTGGACTCTTTATCAAGCAAATCATGGTTGATGCATGGGAGAGTGGACGCCCTGCAGTGGCACCTCTCTGGCGTTCTTCACGTGGCGTGTTCTTCTATTCGGTGCCACATCGTGGCTCTCATCTGGCCTGCATTAAGGCGCCGTTGTTGGCACGCTCTGTTGAGATGCTGGATATTGAGAAGAGTGAGTTCATTGAAAGCTTCACAGATCTCTTGCTCTTTTTTATATATATTTTTTATATATAGATAATAAGTATTTGTTGGACCTGCATCGACGCTTTGCTGGGCTATATCATTTGGGTCATATAAAAATTGAGGTCTTTAGCTTTGTGGAGACGGCGTTAACCTTAATGTCAGTGCTTTATCTACGTATAGTAGGAGTGGATTCTGCAGGTGAGTTTCAATGTAGATCTTTTTAAATTAGACAAACAAACACAAATTATGGCTAAAGTGGACTCGAAGTCAGCTAGGAAATTAATTTTTGAACAGAGTTGACCTCACAAGACACTTGAAATGTTTAGAATGAAATTACGAATCGGATTCAACTTACGCTAAAACTATAAACGGAGAGCAGCTGATGGATGTCGAATTCGTAGCTTTCACTTCTAAATCGTACTACGAGCTATGCAACTCTTTCGGAACTTCCGTTCAGTTGCGAACTTTTAGTCGAATTGATTGGTCATTGGACCTTACTTTATCGAAGAGGAAGCTTTAGTAACAATTACGTGAATGGATTGCGCTTTCAATATATGATTTTTTATGCCCTCAATCGTGGCTCGCCAGAGGCTCCGACAAACTGGTTATGCATCCATCTTATAGTCTAGACCTCCTTGTGCATTTTCGTCACTCTTATCGGACAAACAGAACAAAGCTGAGCGACAGCATTGATGCCGAAGGAAATCAACTTTGACCAAAATTTTCCCTACATATTTTACATACATACAAACATTATTAAGATTCAGTCTCTATTCCAATATTTTTACATAGATCAGGTACATGGTTTACTCGTATATAGCATACAAAAGAAATAATAACACAGCATTAAATTCATATTCAAAAATCTGCTAAATATTGTAAGCAAATTCGCATATACAGAAGTCTTTAATAGTGCCATGCGTTGGCGACGCAGGTCCTCAGCTCCACGAACGCCTGCGTCATAATCGCAGCTCCTTTGAAGTATAAAGTCGTTTAAGTAAAAAATAATAATGCTCGAACCATAATGTTATTAATATCTAAATGCAGTTGCACCTCAACGCAAAGTTTTGTCGAATATTTTAAGTCTGCCACAGCAGCAAGATGAGAATCGTCCATTCCAGTCAAACTGCTCCATTAGCTGATCTTTTCGTATGATATGGAGTGTCCTTAAATAAAAACAACGTAAGGACTTATGAAGAACGAAGTAGTTAATTAATCGACAATATATTATATTATATTATTACCACAGCTTGTATAGGGTCCTTATCCATATGTTTACCTTTTAGGTACTTCTTTCTTCTTTTGTACTGCATTTTTTTTTGAATATCGATTGCTTTGATTTCAATTTCCATGCACATATTGCTCATCGTTACTTTGTTTCTGTATTTATTTCTAAGCCGTCTTTAGTTGTTCCTTAGGCCATTTTACTCGCCTCGTGATTTTGACTTCTCGTCCGCATAGACTAGCATTTCCATCGAGCAATTTGTAAAGAACGCAACAGACAATCTTTTCTGTGTACATATACGGTATTTAATCCTGCACACAAATCCTATGGAATCCTTCTTCTTTCCATACCTTTTGCAGTGCATATTGTAATTCTTTATTAAATCGCTGATCAACATTCTTACATAGCTCTGAAGTTCGTCTTTATTCTGTTACATTTAGCACCTTTTTCCTTTCCTTTTTTCTTTTTTACTTAAGCTTTTATGTTCTTCACAAGTTTGTCTGAAACTGCTTTTACGAGTATATATGCTTTGTCCTTTTTTGTCGTTAACTATTCGGATTTCTTCATCGAACCATGAATTTCGTTTGTTCGGTGGAAAGCATAAGATTTCTTCGGCTGCTGTCGGCAACAGTTAGTTTTTCAATATTATATTTTTTGGTTTATGAACTCTTTTATTACGGTAGATTCTAAAGTGAAATGTTGCTTTAGCTCTTCGTTTCAAGCAATCGGTTAGTAGTTGGATAGAACAGTCAATGTCGATATTTCAAAAATTCAACAACAAGCCGTATATATGTATTTATATACATGTTTGTATGTAAATGAATTAAAAACTAAAAATGAACCTTTTTTTATACAGTTCACTTTCTATTGTCTTTCAGATCCTGGTTTTGGTGATGTCTGTGGTATACGCTTGGATCATCGTGAAATTTGCAAGCCACGCAGCAGAGAATGTATTCTGTATAAAGAATTAGTGAAAATGATTAATAAAGTATGCTGAGATTTATAGGCAATTAAAGCTTGCACTTTTAGTTACTAAAAACGGTACCTTATTCATCCATAAAGGGAATAGTATGATTTTTGTTAAAAAACATAAAATAAAATGTAATAAAAAATTTAAAAAAAATCAGGTAATACAAAGTAAAATAAAAAGAATAAATTACAAAAAAAAAAATTAAATAAATAAACTTAAAATAAATTAATTTAAATAAATTAAAATGAAAAAAAAACTAAAAAAAATTAAACAGATAAATTAGAATGTTCGACAAAAATCTATATATATATTTAAAAGAAAACAAAATAAAATAAATAAAACTAAAATAAAATAAATAACAAATAAAATTATAAATATAATAACGTTTATTGAAATAATAAAAAATTGAATTAAATGGAATTAAGTAAACAATATACGAAACAAGATAAAATAAAATTAAAAAAAAAGTGCAAAAAAGTAAAAAAAAAAAAAGAAAATTAAAATATAACATAAAATAATATAATATAAAACAAAAAAAAATAAATAAAACAAATAAAAAAATTAAATTAAATAGATGAACGAAATTTGAATAAAAAAAAAAATAATTAATTCATCCTTAAAAGAGTGTTGCTTGATTATTGTTTAAAAATGATAATAATTAAGTAGAAGTAAATAAAATAAAATGTGATAAAAAATTATAAAAATAAAATAATACAAAATAAAATAAAAAGGATAAATAAAAAAAAAAATTAAATAAAACAAAATTAAAAAAATCAAACAAAAATTAAATATATTAAATTAAATGAAAAAACGCAATTAAAAATAATTAAAATGAAAAAAAATTAATTAAATACAGCAAAAAAACGAGACAATAAAAAATAGAAGCAGAACAGAAATAAGAGAAAAAAATATATTGCAAACACTAAATTTTGTAAATTGAAATAAAATAAAATTAAAACTAAAAAAAATTAATTAAACCAAAGTTAAAATAAGAAGATAAAATCAAATTAATTAAGATAAAAGAAAATAATAATAAATTAAATAAATATATAAATATAAAAAGAACTAATAACATAAAGTTTACTTTGAAAATAAGCCAATATAATAAACTAAGTGAAAATGAAATGAAATAAAATAAAAATAAAATGAAAAGAAGCATTGAAGTAATGGAATAAAAAAAAAATGAAAATAAAAAAATAAAATAAAAAAAAAATAAAAAAATTAAATAAAAAAAAATAAATATAAATAGATTTAAATTAAATTAAATTTAAAAAAAGTTAAAAACATGAAATAAAATAAAATGAAATAATTAATGGCTTTAGCCACCTTTCCTTAATTTTAAGTTGAAAAAGTTTGCCAGCCTGAGGTCGCAATAATTAAAAACAATCAATACAAAACTCCACGTCACACTGATTGGACGTGTTATTCAATTTGCCCTGAAGCCGGTTACCGAAGAGTAGCCGAAATATATCGAGAGAAAACAATACAAACATTTTTTTTTCAATTTTAATTTAAAATTAAATAATATAAAATACGAAAAATGTAAAGTTAAATAAAAATAATAAAATAAAAACAATAAAATGAAATAATATTAAATAAGAGAAAATAAAATAAAATTAAATTAAATAAAAATTAAAAAATAAAATAAAATAAAACATGAAATATGTTAAGTTAAACATAAATAATAAAAACAAATAAAAACAATAAAATGAGAAAGTTAATTAAAAAAAAGAATTAAATGAAATAAAAAAAGAAAGTAAAATAAAAAAATAAAATAAGAAAGTAAAATAAAAAAATAAAATAAAATAAAGTAAGAAAAACAAATAAATCAAAAATTAAACAAAATGTAATACAACAAAACAAATAAATTGAATTTAATGAAGTACAATTAGCAATAAATAAGAATAAAATTTTAATAAATCTAACAATAAAAGTAAAAGAAAGAGATATTAAATACTTCCAGCCTTGGTTATGTAAAAGATATATTAAAAAATAATAATAATAATAATATTTATATGCTTAAAGACGCACGGGCTAAAATTAAGCTAAACGTTTAATCGCCTAAATATATACACACGCTTTTGTGTAAGTAAAATTAAGTTATTAAACGGATTTCCAAGTCCATTGTTATTCAACGATTGCCATTGATTCTCAAAGAAAAAATTTAAATATTTGGAAAACAACAGAATATAGATATATAGATATATATATTTGTATATATGTATATATAATACAATAAATAACTTACAACAAATACCTTTGATATTTAAATTTATAAGATTCTCTTTCGTTAATAAAAACTGTGTTTAATATTATTAATATCCATATTGAGTGCGTAAGTTAATAAAATATTATATAATCATATACGTAAATGCATATGTATGTCTCACGTTGCATGGTGATTTCAATTGTGTGATCAACTTAAAATGTGATTTTTATCAAAAGAAAGCTTAGCTAAAGATATTTGTATATTTTTGTCAGGAAAACCATAGAATAGTGTATAAAAGGAGATAATATCTTAATTTTTTTTAAATGTTTATAATAAATATGTATTTACAACTTTCGGCAGATTTAGTAACTTTACATATATTTTTCTATTTAATAATATCAAATTTCAGCACTACATATTATTTATGTTCCAAAGATAAAAAAAATAATGAATTAAATAGCTCATGATCGCAGATATATTTTTAAAATCGATGTACTCAAATTATTTAATACAAAAAACATTACTTTTTGATTGTTGAATTGTATTTGTTCACTGAAATATTTAAATAAATAAAATAATTATTCCACAAACAGCAGTTACATGTCTTTCTGGGGGGATAACTTTTCTGCTCAATAAATTATGATTTTTTAAACGATATTCCACTATCCCATTCCATTGTCGTAGGTCGTGGAATCCCACCACAAAGCTCTGCTCTTCAAGATATTCAAATTAGCAATAAAACAAATAGTTTAGTGTTTTAAATAAGTTATATATATATAATATATATATATATATATATAGGTATGTATATATTTTCATTTTAGCCATTTTTTGTTATAAATGCATTTTATTTTCAAATATAGGTTGGCCCTTCATATCAAGTACCATTTACACTGTTGCTTGCAATCACTACGGATGAGTGCTCATCCTGGTCATTGTATTTATTTATACGTATTACGAGTATATATACATAATTATGATCTACGATCTCCACAAATATTTGTGTTTTTTTATTTTCATTCAGGACACACATTTTCCAGCATTTAACGCATTTTTTATTTTAAATTGTTTCCATCAATTTGCTGACATACAAGTATAAAAAATTCTTTTGCCTTACAACAACATTAATTATACAATTTTTTTTTATAATTAATTATTATTTACTTACGCAATGCAAACAATTAAACAAGAAAAAATATAATCATTTAGTGTGAAAAACTTAATAAAAATCACTTGAAATGTTTACTAATAACAAAATTGAATAAAAAACAAGATTTTTAAACTATAAACCTTAACTTAAAAATAAATCGTGAAATTTTAGTTTCAAAAGTGCAGCTGAAATATCTGTTTAAGCACTCAATTACATTCATATCGCATTTAGCATGTACAAATTATTTCAATAATTTGTTTTTTTTTTGTTTTTTTTTTTTTAGTGAAATAAAGACATACACGAAAATTCCTAAATAAATATGTAGAAGTAATAAAATATTTGTTTATTCCGCTGAGTAAAAAAAAATAATGCTTATTCTCCTTAACTTACTCAAATGTTTCGCATAAAATCTAGATTCTTATTACGTTGATTTGCACGGTGTTCACAATAGTTGTGTCACCATTATGCTTTTTGTATACATAATTCATACAGAATTTGTTACTTATTTAATCAAATATGTATATATTTCTTATGTTTTGAGGGTCAAAAATTTTTAATATAATTTTAGTTCGGTTTTTAATTTCTTACTTTTTAATTAACATTTACATGGATTTCCAATAAATTTTATTTTTATTTCGTTTTTTATTTTAAGCTTTTATATTTTTTTTTTAATCATTTTAGTTATTTTTTTTTTATTTCATAATAGGTTACTTTATTTTATAAAGTTTTCATAAATTTTATATTTTTTTATTTTTTTTTCATTTTATTTCTTTTTATTTTTTACTTTGTTTCATTTTATTTTATTTTATTTTATTTTATTTTATTTTATTTTATTTTATTTTATTTTGGTTTATGGTATTTTGTTTTATTTCCTTCAATTTTGTTTTATTTTTTACTTAATTTTAATTTGTTGAAATTTTTTTCAATTTTTTAATTTTTTTATTAATTTTAATATTTTTTTTTTATTTCATGTTAATTTAGTTTATTTTTCTGTTTATTTAATTCCGTTGGTTCATTTGTTTATTTGAATTAATAATAAATAAATTTATTCTTTTAATACATGTTAGTTTTTGTTTATATTTTAATTTATATAAGCTCTATAAGTTTAATTTTAAATAAAAAATATTTAGTTTTTTTTAATTATTTTAATTAAATTTTTTTATAAATTTGTTCCTTTATTTTGTTTTATTTCTTTCTTATTTTAATTGATTTTATTTCATTTATATTATTTTATTGTTTTCATTTTGTTTTGATTACATTTAATTAAATTTATATTTTTGGTTTCTTATGTCAATGCTAAAATATTCATTTATTAATTTTTATTCCTTTTTTATTTAATTTAGTTTTTTAAAATGTTTTTAATTTTTATTTTATTTTATTTCAAAAATTTTTTTTCATTTGTTTTATTTTATATTGTTTGAATTTTAAATTTTATTTTAATTTCATTTATATAAATATTTTTTATTTTATAAAATGTTTTTTTATTTTGTTCAGTTTTTTTTTTAATTTTATTTTTTATCAGAGTTTGTGTTGTTTTTTCATTCTAAAGCCTTTTGCTTGTTTTTTTTTTATTAATTCCTAGTATCTTTGTTGTTGTAAATATTTGTCTGTATATTTTTTGTTTGTTTGCAACATCATTAATTTTTTGCTTTCTTTGCGCATAAAAATGTTTCTCTTTCACGATTTTGCTTTGAATTTAACTTAAAAGTGTTATATTCATACATACAGACAGGAATGTATAATTGTGTGTATATGTGATTTCGCATATTTACATAAATTGTTTGCGAACAAATGCCATTAAATGCGTCTACCTGT